GAAAACTATTAAAAGATAAATTAGTTCAGAATGAATCATGTTGTACCGTCTATTTGTATATTTTTTGAAAATCTCTATGCAAGCCACTAGTGTTTTTACCATGCTTGTGGTAAACTTATTCATCTTTTCTGTTGACCATAGAAGGGTACTAACAAATAAGCGAATCTTCTAAAATGGCCAACACTTTCTGGACAAGAAAGCCATTTTGGAAGACGTTTCCCCTTTCGAATGATATTTTATGACCTAAATGCAACGCAATTCCACCTGCTGAGGTTTGAGTAGTCAGGTAGCCTCGTCAACAGTCAAACAAATAGCATGACTCATTGACTACTGCATGAAGGTACTCATGGTTGTGGAGTGCCTTCCTATTTTAAGTCTGGCTATTTCTACTAGGATAGGATTGACTGTACTTTTACTGTCTGAAGCAAAACAGATGAGATGTAGAATCACGCCGCCCCCTGGCGATCACCAAATGACTTTGAAGTAGCCAATCGAGTTGAAGGCAACCGTGTAGTTCTTCTTGGAAGCTGTGAACTATTCAAAGGGATTCCACTGATTATAGATAGGTTTATGGGTAATTTTATTGATGGTAATTTCGATTGAATCAAACGGAATTATTTCTCACACTATCATCTGGAAATATTTTGTAGTTCTGAGAATTTTTTCGTGTGATCACGTTTTATGTTGAGGACTAAATTACATACAATTAGTGCCCACTGCAGTATGCTCTAGTATTAGACTGTACATCATGAAACCTAATTAAAACCTTTTTTTAACGCCTTAAAATTTACCATTTAGATTCATGTGGCTTCATAGTGTCCACTAAGTCATTTATCAACAAACAGACAGTGCCAACGCTGGAAAGAGCTCCTACTTGCTGTTTTTTTCCACTGCTTTATGACTTCATCTAATATCCAATATCAAATATCTGTATGACATTTTCAAACTCTAATTCCTAAATCCTTCTACACAGGTTCATACAAATAAATATTTAAGGTTCACATTAAACATAGTTCAGATGGTGTAATTCTTTGTAGTCACATAGATGAATATTTTGATTGAATGTATCTTTACTTTTTCCAGAAAATCATAAATGGTTTCCTGAATATTGATAGAAAACCCTATCTATAGTATATTTCCTACTACTTCTTCCTTAAATACAAATAAGAAATGACCATTTTCTTATTGGTGCATTCAAGTTTATTTGTTAGTTGGTGAAGAACAGCGAGATTATATTGTTTTACCTAGAAAGTTTTCCAGAGTAAAACATTCTATTCTATTACAAATCGTGTTTGACATTCAATGAGAAGAGGTAAGCAATAGAAAGCTTTCAACTTCAGTTCTACGTATAACAACAATAGTCAACTAAGTGCATTTAATCCTCTGATAAAAATAAAACCTCTCTACACGTTGGAATGCAAAATATCCAGCCCCTCAATCAAAAATATCACTGATGAACTTTTTCAGCTGAGTAATAACACTATTCAAAGTAGATGTGTTGAAAGTTATCTGTGAAGATCATCTAATTAATATAGTGTACAAATGACTAATAGTTTACAGTAATTCTCGTATACTATGTAAACAGAAAAAAATAACCAGAAATATGTATGGTATATCTTCTTCATCTTTTCTGTTGACCATAGAAGGGTATGAACAAATAAGCGAATCTTCTACAATGGCCAGCACTTTTTGGACAAGAAAGCCATTTTGGAAGACGTTTCCCCTTTCGAATGATATTTTATGACTTAAATGTAAGGCATAAGCAGCAATTGCATAGCCTTTTTCAATTTTTTCCAGATCACAAGAATTTTTTTGGTTGCTGGTTACAAATTTATCTGTGTTCTATATCACGATGTATACATCACCTTCTGTAGCAAAACTTGAATATTAACCTGAAGACGTAATATCAAATTCATACTTTTGAGAAAGATCTTTGCAGCAAGATTGAAGCTTTGAGGAATAATACAAAATATTTATTTACTGTGATAGTTGTTCTAATATGCTATGCTGGGATTACACAATTAAAATACGCCTTCAAACGATGAATCATATCAACTTGGTGCCAAGGTTTTTCAAAACCTTCTAGTCCATTGTTGGTTAGAATACGTTTAAAAATATACATAGTTTAGTTTACTTTATGTTTAGTTACGTAACTAGTGTAGGAGAAGTTGAGTAGCGTAAATGCTTCATTATGGTAACTTCTTGGCAAGCCTTATATTTGATTTATTTATACTGAAATAAGCTAGAAAGTGTTTTCATGCATGCAAAAACAGACAACTAGATACCAGTGTGGATTCAAAGAAAAGCAATTTTCTTCAAAGATTCACTAATTTGCATGCAGTTTTGATACATTCCATATTTAGATTTCTTTACACAGACTCGATGTCAAAGCGATTAGCTATCAAAAACTGATTGTTAACAGCGCCAAGTATTATTTTGAGAAACTTGGATGCATAACTGATTCAGTGTTTGTGTAATATATAAAAGCAAACGATGTAAATAAATCATTAAATTTATCTCTACATATATGCGACATGAGGATATTTTCAGATGATAACCGGACCAATAGGAAATTAGTGAATATGTACTTCGTATTACTCTAATTCTGTCTTTATGTCAATTATATACAATATTGTTTTTATGTACAGTTGTTTGACTGGCAGAATACATTGGGTTTATGTCAACAAAGTACTTAGATCTACCCATCTTTATGAGTTAGTCTACTGATCAGGAAATCATGATAATTCAAAATGGAAATCCTTAGTGCTTTTGTAACTGTCACCTTATATTGGTAATCAATCCTCTAGCAAATACTTTGCACTTTTCATAAAAAGAATATACTTCCCTTCGAGTTTCTTTACCAAATTTACACTATGTTAGTCAAATGTCTTTCTCATCCTTTTAGTTAGAAGTGATGATGCACATGCTTCATTATCTACAAAGAGTTAGGAAAAAACCATCAACCGAAAAACAAGTTTAATCCACAAATGTCTCCTCTGAAATCCAAAGAATTGGTTTTGTACTCCTGACACTTAAGAAGGTGAAATTCACTTTCTGAGACTGATGTTCATCAGAAATGGATAATGGAAGAGATTATTAGATAAAATACTGCGTCATAATTTCGCCAATCATTCTTCTACCAATATGAAGACGTTACTTTTTGAATTTGTTAGTCTGAAGTTGCAGAAGATGAATTTTATTACGCAGACTAATGCAAGCTGCTGTAATCATATTCTGTGCCGTCAATCTGATAACCCCATATACTATTTGTTCAGTGGTGAACACTTGTGCGAAGGATAAACAGTCACTGCTACACACTTCTATGAGCATTTATTCATCTAACTACTTCTCTAGATCTACATAAATACATTGTACGTAGAGGTAGATTACCCAACATCACCATCAATACCTTCCAGCACTGTTCAGTAAACGTCAGCCTCGGTAAGTCACCAGTATTATATTATAGCATACAGTTGACAGTGGATACGCACTTCCAGGTGATTGGTTTGCAGTAGTCTACAACGTAGGACAAAATCTTTCGATGAGTGTGAATAAACCTCTACTGTCGACTGTTGACATTGTAGTAAAGCAAAAACTGAAACCGAAATTGTCTATTCAGAGTCAACTTTACCACTCAATAAGTGTATTTATTTGCTGTTTAACTCTTAAACTTTCCAATTCCTGCCTTCCTTGTATAAACATTTCATTTTATGAGCAAATTACTAACTAATTTCTCAGCCTCTTCTATACAGAAAGCTGTGTACTCTCTTGGTCATAAATTACTCAATTCTTGATTTCAGCTCACACTTGCCTATTCACTTTGTCCAGTATCTTCATGTTCCACACACAATTTTCGTTTCATTTAATCCGGGGGCAATCGACTGGGAACTATTGGTGTTACTGATCGATCTACGCTCAGTTTTACTGCACAGTGCTGCAAGGTGTCGGCGTCGATGTTGGACAATCTATCTCTATGTACAGACGATGAACGTGGCTTCACGAAAGTAGTTGGATTGATATTTGGATATGGAATTAATTAGCCGGGGATGTTTGTCCATCACATATGTGTATTCCTGGTCTAGTGGAAAACACTGGCGTTTGAAGCGAGTACATCTGAGGTTTGAGTCCTAGTGGGAACAACATCGCTCACTTGGAGGCAGGTACATATGGCTGGCGTTTATGGAATGAGATGAAACGCGCATTCTGAATTCCTCTCTGACACAATTTTTGAAAATAAATGGATCCCATATCACAATTATTGCCAAACTGGTTCTGCAATTGTTGCTGAGATGTGAGCAAGTTAGGTGGGATACTTGATAGCATTGATGAAGTACTTTCATCCTGACATTTAAATCATTGTTTTCTAATTTGTTCTGGAAGTAGTGCTGCTCTCAGGAGGCGTCTTTGTATGCTAAAATCCTCCTGTTCTATTCCACTTCCTGCCGCAGATGTTAAATTACTTTTCATACAGAAATAGTTTTACTATGAGTTACGTATGAACGAAGCCATGAAATGCTAAATTTATTCACTCCAGTCCTGATGTCCACAAAAATATTCCCCGTTCTTTTTGTGATATAACAGAACTGAATAATTGACAAGGTGTACTAACTTGTGACCGTCTTGACAGACACATGATGCATGATGAGCTTGTCTGGTCACGTCATGTCTAACCATGTTCTCACTGGCCATCGTTATTCTCTGACCTTGACCAGTACAATATACCTATTGGTTAATATTCAAACAGAAATGACCCCCTATGCTGATACAATTAAATTAGTTCAAAGACAGCCATTTAATTCTGAGTAGTTCTACGCGTAGTAACTGTCTAAAGGGAACTAGTCAATAGACTTGTTTTCAGATCTGAGTGAATTGTGTATATTACAATTACAGTCTTTTTCCTCCCCGTGTCATTCTGAAGGATTGACCATTTTAAGTGAATTGTCACTGCGAATAAATTAATTCATAATTCACAATTCAAAAAACCACACGCAGTAACTTACTTGTTTGAGATTTTAGGACTTGAGTGGATGGCTTCCGTGTTGCTTTCAAACCTGAAAGGATGATTATAGCATTCTGCATTCAGATTTATAAAACACAAATAGCAGTAACAGGCGTATATGAAAAAGATAACATGAGATACTCGATTATTATTACCTTCAGTAAGCCTTTCCATGTATGATAAACATGATCACATTCTCGCTCACATTATATCCTTACCACTTCTCATACCGACGCCTCTGTGGTTGAGTGTCACAGGTCCTAACGCCACTCCACCTGCTGAGGTTTGAGTAGTCAGGTAGCCTCGTCAACAGTCAAACAAATAGCATGACTCATTGACTACTGCATGAAGGTACTCATGGTTGTGGAGTGCCTTCCTATTTTAAGTCTGGCTATTTCTACTAGGATAGGACTGACTGTACTTTTACTGTCTGAAGCAAAACAGATGAGATGTAGAATCACGCCGCCCCCTGGCGATCACCAAATGACTTTGAAGTAGCCAATCGAGTTGAAGGCAACCGTGTAGTTCTTCTTGGAAGCTGTGAACTATTCAAAGGGATTCCACTGATTATAGATAGGTTTATGGGTAATTTTATTGATGGTAATTTCGATTGAATCAAACGGAATTATTTCTCACACTATCATCTGGAAATATTTTGTAGTTCTGAGAATTTTTTCGTGTGATCACGTTTTATGTTGAGGACTAAATTACATACAATTAGTGCCCACTGCAGTATGCTCTAGTATTAGACTGTACATCATGAAACCTAATTAAAACCTTTTTTTAACGCCTTAAAATTTACCATTTAGATTCATGTGGCTTCATAGTGTCCACTAAGTCATTTATCAACAAACAGACAGTGCCAACGCTGGAAAGAGCTCCTACTTGCTGTTTTTTTCCACTGCTTTATGACTTCATCTAATATCCAATATCAAATATCTGTATGACATTTTCAAACTCTAATTCCTAAATCCTTCTACACAGGTTCATACAAATAAATATTTAAGGTTCACATTAAACATAGTTCAGATGGTGTAATTCTTTGTAGTCACATAGATGAATATTTTGATTGAATGTATCTTTACTTTTTCCAGAAAATCATAAATGGTTTCCTGAATATTGATAGAAAACCCTATCTATAGTATATTTCCTACTACTTCTTCCTTAAATACAAATAAGAAATGACCATTTTCTTATTGGTGCATTCAAGTTTATTTGTTAGTTGGTGAAGAACAGCGAGATTATATTGTTTTACCTAGAAAGTTTTCCAGAGTAAAACATTCTATTCTATTACAAATCGTGTTTGACATTCAATGAGAAGAGGTAAGCAATAGAAAGCTTTCAACTTCAGTTCTACGTATAACAACAATAGTCAACTAAGTGCATTTAATCCTCTGATAAAAATAAAACCTCTCTACACGTTGGAATGCAAAATATCCAGCCCCTCAATCAAAAATATCACTGATGAACTTTTTCAGCTGAGTAATAACACTATTCAAAGTAGATGTGTTGAAAGTTATCTGTGAAGATCATCTAATTAATATAGTGTACAAATGACTAATAGTTTACAGTAATTCTCGTATACTATGTAAACAGAAAAAAATAACCAGAAATATGTATGGTATATCTTCTTCATCTTTTCTGTTGACCATAGAAGGGTATGAACAAATAAGCGAATCTTCTACAATGGCCAGCACTTTTTGGACAAGAAAGCCATTTTGGAAGACGTTTCCCCTTTCGAATGATATTTTATGACTTAAATGTAAGGCATAAGCAGCAATTGCATAGCCTTTTTCAATTTTTTCCAGATCACAAGAATTTTTTTGGTTGCTGGTTACAAATTTATCTGTGTTCTATATCACGATGTATACATCACCTTCTGTAGCAAAACTTGAATATTAACCTGAAGACGTAATATCAAATTCATACTTTTGAGAAAGATCTTTGCAGCAAGATTGAAGCTTTGAGGAATAATACAAAATATTTATTTACTGTGATAGTTGTTCTAATATGCTATGCTGGGATTACACAATTAAAATACGCCTTCAAACGATGAATCATATCAACTTGGTGCCAAGGTTTTTCAAAACCTTCTAGTCCATTGTTGGTTAGAATACGTTTAAAAATATACATAGTTTAGTTTACTTTATGTTTAGTTACGTAACTAGTGTAGGAGAAGTTGAGTAGCGTAAATGCTTCATTATGGTAACTTCTTGGCAAGCCTTATATTTGATTTATTTATACTGAAATAAGCTAGAAAGTGTTTTCATGCATGCAAAAACAGACAACTAGATACCAGTGTGGATTCAAAGAAAAGCAATTTTCTTCAAAGATTCACTAATTTGCATGCAGTTTTGATACATTCCATATTTAGATTTCTTTACACAGACTCGATGTCAAAGCGATTAGCTATCAAAAACTGATTGTTAACAGCGCCAAGTATTATTTTGAGAAACTTGGATGCATAACTGATTCAGTGTTTGTGTAATATATAAAAGCAAACGATGTAAATAAATCATTAAATTTATCTCTACATATATGCGACATGAGGATATTTTCAGATGATAACCGGACCAATAGGAAATTAGTGAATATGTACTTCGTATTACTCTAATTCTGTCTTTATGTCAATTATATACAATATTGTTTTTATGTACAGTTGTTTGACTGGCAGAATACATTGGGTTTATGTCAACAAAGTACTTAGATCTACCCATCTTTATGAGTTAGTCTACTGATCAGGAAATCATGATAATTCAAAATGGAAATCCTTAGTGCTTTTGTAACTGTCACCTTATATTGGTAATCAATCCTCTAGCAAATACTTTGCACTTTTCATAAAAAGAATATACTTCCCTTCGAGTTTCTTTACCAAATTTACACTATGTTAGTCAAATGTCTTTCTCATCCTTTTAGTTAGAAGTGATGATGCACATGCTTCATTATCTACAAAGAGTTAGGAAAAAACCATCAACCGAAAAACAAGTTTAATCCACAAATGTCTCCTCTGAAATCCAAAGAATTGGTTTTGTACTCCTGACACTTAAGAAGGTGAAATTCACTTTCTGAGACTGATGTTCATCAGAAATGGATAATGGAAGAGATTATTAGATAAAATACTGCGTCATAATTTCGCCAATCATTCTTCTACCAATATGAAGACGTTACTTTTTGAATTTGTTAGTCTGAAGTTGCAGAAGATGAATTTTATTACGCAGACTAATGCAAGCTGCTGTAATCATATTCTGTGCCGTCAATCTGATAACCCCATATACTATTTGTTCAGTGGTGAACACTTGTGCGAAGGATAAACAGTCACTGCTACACACTTCTATGAGCATTTATTCATCTAACTACTTCTCTAGATCTACATAAATACATTGTACGTAGAGGTAGATTACCCAACATCACCATCAATACCTTCCAGCACTGTTCAGTAAACGTCAGCCTCGGTAAGTCACCAGTATTATATTATAGCATACAGTTGACAGTGGATACGCACTTCCAGGTGATTGGTTTGCAGTAGTCTACAACGTAGGACAAAATCTTTCGATGAGTGTGAATAAACCTCTACTGTCGACTGTTGACATTGTAGTAAAGCAAAAACTGAAACCGAAATTGTCTATTCAGAGTCAACTTTACCACTCAATAAGTGTATTTATTTGCTGTTTAACTCTTAAACTTTCCAATTCCTGCCTTCCTTGTATAAACATTTCATTTTATGAGCAAATTACTAACTAATTTCTCAGCCTCTTCTATACAGAAAGCTGTGTACTCTCTTGGTCATAAATTACTCAATTCTTGATTTCAGCTCACACTTGCCTATTCACTTTGTCCAGTATCTTCATGTTCCACACACAATTTTCGTTTCATTTAATCCGGGGCAATCGACTGGGAACTATTGGTGTTACTGATCGATCTACGCTCAGTTTTACTGCACAGTGCTGCAAGGTGTCGGCGTCGATGTTGGACAATCTATCTCTATGTACAGACGATGAACGTGGCTTCACGAAAGTAGTTGGATTGATATTTGGATATGGAATTAATTAGCCGGGGATGTTTGTCCATCACATATGTGTATTCCTGGTCTAGTGGAAAACACTGGCGTTTGAAGCGAGTACATCTGAGGTTTGAGTCCTAGTGGGAACAACATCGCTCACTTGGAGGCAGGTACATATGGCTGGCGTTTATGGAATGAGATGAAACGCGCATTCTGAATTCCTCTCTGACACAATTTTTGAAAATAAATGGATCCCATATCACAATTATTGCCAAACTGGTTCTGCAATTGTTGCTGAGATGTGAGCAAGTTAGGTGGGATACTTGATAGCATTGATGAAGTACTTTCATCCTGACATTTAAATCATTGTTTTCTAATTTGTTCTGGAAGTAGTGCTGCTCTCAGGAGGCGTCTTTGTATGCTAAAATCCTCCTGTTCTATTCCACTTCCTGCCGCAGATGTTAAATTACTTTTCATACAGAAATAGTTTTACTATGAGTTACGTATGAACGAAGCCATGAAATGCTAAATTTATTCACTCCAGTCCTGATGTCCACAAAAATATTCCCCGTTCTTTTTGTGATATAACAGAACTGAATAATTGACAAGGTGTACTAACTTGTGACCGTCTTGACAGACACATGATGCATGATGAGCTTGTCTGGTCACGTCATGTCTAACCATGTTCTCACTGGCCATCGTTATTCTCTGACCTTGACCAGTACAATATACCTATTGGTTAATATTCAAACAGAAATGACCCCCTATGCTGATACAATTAAATTAGTTCAAAGACAGCCATTTAATTCTGAGTAGTTCTACGCGTAGTAACTGTCTAAAGGGAACTAGTCAATAGACTTGTTTTCAGATCTGAGTGAATTGTGTATATTACAATTACAGTCTTTTTCCTCCCCGTGTCATTCTGAAGGATTGACCATTTTAAGTGAATTGTCACTGCGAATAAATTAATTCATAATTCACAATTCAAAAAACCACACGCAGTAACTTACTTGTTTGAGATTTTAGGACTTGAGTGGATGGCTTCCGTGTTGCTTTCAAACCTGAAAGGATGATTATAGCATTCTGCATTCAGATTTATAAAACACAAATAGCAGTAACAGGCGTATATGAAAAAGATAACATGAGATACTCGATTATTATTACCTTCAGTAAGCCTTTCCATGTATGATAAACATGATCACATTCTCGCTCACATTATATCCTTACCACTTCTCATACCGACGCCTCTGTGGTTGAGTGTCACAGGTCCTAACGCCACTCCACCTGCTGAGGTTTGAGTAGTCAGGTAGCCTCGTCAACAGTCAAACAAATAGCATGACTCATTGACTACTGCATGAAGGTACTCATGGTTGTGGAGTGCCTTCCTATTTTAAGTCTGGCTATTTCTACTAGGATAGGACTGACTGTACTTTTACTGTCTGAAGCAAAACAGATGAGATGTAGAATCACGCCGCCCCCTGGCGATCACCAAATGACTTTGAAGTAGCCAATCGAGTTGAAGGCAACCGTGTAGTTCTTCTTGGAAGCTGTGAACTATTCAAAGGGATTCCACTGATTATAGATAGGTTTATGGGTAATTTTATTGATGGTAATTTCGATTGAATCAAACGGAATTATTTCTCACACTATCATCTGGAAATATTTTGTAGTTCTGAGAATTTTTTCGTGTGATCACGTTTTATGTTGAGGACTAAATTACATACAATTAGTGCCCACTGCAGTATGCTCTAGTATTAGACTGTACATCATGAAACCTAATTAAAACCTTTTTTAACGCCTTAAAATTTACCATTTAGATTCATGTGGCTTCATAGTGTCCACTAAGTCATTTATCAACAAACAGACAGTGCCAACGCTGGAAAGAGCTCCTACTTGCTGTTTTTTTCCACTGCTTTATGACTTCATCTAATATCCAATATCAAATATCTGTATGACATTTTCAAACTCTAATTCCTAAATCCTTCTACACAGGTTCATACAAATAAATATTTAAGGTTCACATTAAACATAGTTCAGATGGTGTAATTCTTTGTAGTCACATAGATGAATATTTTGATTGAATGTATCTTTACTTTTTCCAGAAAATCATAAATGGTTTCCTGAATATTGATAGAAAACCCTATCTATAGTATATTTCCTACTACTTCTTCCTTAAATACAAATAAGAAATGACCATTTTCTTATTGGTGCATTCAAGTTTATTTGTTAGTTGGTGAAGAACAGCGAGATTATATTGTTTTACCTAGAAAGTTTTCCAGAGTAAAACATTCTATTCTATTACAAATCGTGTTTGACATTCAATGAGAAGAGGTAAGCAATAGAAAGCTTTCAACTTCAGTTCTACGTATAACAACAATAGTCAACTAAGTGCATTTAATCCTCTGATAAAAATAAAACCTCTCTACACGTTGGAATGCAAAATATCCAGCCCCTCAATCAAAAATATCACTGATGAACTTTTTCAGCTGAGTAATAACACTATTCAAAGTAGATGTGTTGAAAGTTATCTGTGAAGATCATCTAATTAATATAGTGTACAAATGACTAATAGTTTACAGTAATTCTCGTATACTATGTAAACAGAAAAAAATAACTAGAAATATGTATATTTCTTCGAAATAATAGAGAAGCTTTGTGGACGGGGCGAATTATTTATGTCTTGTTGTAGCTTTTTATCTGAATGCTGATAATTATGTTGCCCAAATGTAAATATGCTGTAAAATAACAATCTATGAATTCCTCCTCATTTGAACATTTTAACTGTATATACTGGATTGGTTTTGCGTCAATGCTAAGAATCTGAGGATGATATACAATACCATTCTTAGCCTAGTCGAAGTATGTAAAATGATACGGTGGATATAATGTTATCATTTCATCGTGTTACACCTGAATACCTTTGATTCAATGAGCGTATGATTCTGCTACATATTTTAGCTTTCTATGAACATAGAGTGTATTGGCCGACAGCAGTCAAGTTAGTGGTAAAAAAAAATATTACTTATTCAGTTTTAGGAATTGACACACCGCTCCATAGCTTCAAACTACTCTAATTGTGTCCCAGACTGAAAGAAACTTCACAGACTCGTTATAGTAGCATAAATGTTATTTCCTCATCAGTGCCTCTTCATAAAGTAGACAATTTATTCAAAGTTGTATGCTTTATCATCTGATTAACACTCGTCAAAAACTTCATAATAATAATAATTCTTTCAAAGTTATTTTCCACATTCTTTTTAAAATCATTCATGCTCAACATGTTCGTCTTTTATGAATAGCATAAACTATTAAAATTCAAATGAACAAACTGGGTATTTGTGTCAAGCAGAACCTCGTACTTTCTTAAAGGCGAATGTTTCGAATCCTACTGCCATTTATGTTTACCGTTCATCATCAATCATAATACAACATCGATAACATCGATCTCTCCAACCTTAGCTACCTCATTATATATTCGATTTGTTCATTTGATTTATAACACAGTGTGACATAGTATTATTTACTTGACGACGTTTTCAGCATCAACTATCATCGCTCATTATCATATCAATGTAATCACACGACACTTTCGACATCTGCTCTTCATAGTCCTGTCACCTCAGATTCTCTGCTTTTATTGCAAGTAAAGATTTCCAAATTTCTGGTATGGGTGTTGCGTCATTTCTATTACACGCGTTGCATGTTGGTTGGTTCAATGAACAAAGATTGAGTAATCAATGTCTCTCTCCACCTAATTATATTGTTGGATTTGACTACAGTGCTTTTATCACACCCGATTGTGTGTCTGTGTGTTAATGCGCGCATTGCAACAGCCCAGTTCCCCTCCAGATTATTCATTTTATTCGGCTCTGTCATTCTATGTTGAGCTGGATTCCTATGTTCCACTATTCTGACTGACTCTGACTGACTAGTTCGACTTTGCAGTCGTTACAAGGAATGTGGTGGATTAGATTATTTTGTTTAAATGCTTCTATGTGATGCTTGAGCCAGCCAACAATGCTTCTATCTGAGTGAGTTTGTAATTTTAAATGCCACTCTAGTTCGCACGTGTATTACTCTTATTATTTAGTTTTTATGTGTTTGTACGAATTCCATAATTAAATGTGGAGGAAAATTATTAAGTAATAGGACTTCTTTTATTTGCTTCAGTTCCATGGTTAGGTCCTTGCTGTGACTAGTCAGTTTTATAGGACTGTCATGTAGACATTTGACTAAATCTGCCTTAACTGGCATTGGATGAGATGGCTTGAAGTCTAGCTACCAGTTAGAATGTGAAAGTTTCCTGTACACATCAGCGTCCAAGCCACTGTCTGTCCTTCTTTTTATTCTGAAACCCAACCAAGTAAATTCTCCTTATTCACGTTCTACCTCGTAGGCGAATGGGATTGCGTTCACTACTGAGATTATATTTCAGGGGAAATTGTCAGTATATTCTGATTTCAACATATATTGCCAACATATTTATGGTGCAGGACTAAAAGTTTTTAAAGAAATGTTTTCCCAAATATTAATAAATATATCGAGTACGATTAAGGAAATTGGCGATACTACCACTACTGCTTATGCACGTCGGTATAATTCGTTCTGAAAAATGAAGTCTGTTGAGGACACGTGCAAACCTACATCTAAAAAGATCAAACGGGGAGAAAGGTCTGAGTAAATCGTTGGTAGATGTCTGAAAACCCAGATTAATATAAGAATCACAGTGGCATTCAGAATCACAAACTCACTCATATAGAAGCATTGCTGGCCGGGTCAAGCATCAAATAGAACAAATGATGACAGGTTAGTTGTTAGTATAATGGTTGCGAAATGAATTCAGCAGCTGCAAACGCCTTCTGTTGCTTTTCCAGTGTCGCCGCCATTGGCAACAATGACGGGAGAAATGTGGAGGAATGAATATCGGATCTCATAAAGCCAATTACTGACAGTTCTAGAGTTGAAGGATTTATGTATGCATCTGCAGTAAAACCTCGTTGTTGTCGATCGACGAAAATAAGCATTTATAATGGTGTTAAGAAATGCTTAATTCCTTTTGAAAAGTCCACGACTCGGCTGGAGGAGAAGTGAGTTTTAATAAAGGTGTAGACTTGACGCATTTGGAGAAGGTTTGTTTGGTTTTATCTGCCTGGGAGTTGTGGCTGAGAAGATGAAAGTGTGTTTAAAACATGATTGAATTTTCTGTAACATCTATGCCTAATGCCAAACATCATAGATAGACAGACAAACAGGCAGAGAGACGGACATATAGAACAGATCAAAGAAGAACCTCATGCATACGTTCATCAGTTCAAGTCACAAACTCACTCAGATAGAAGCATTGTTGGCTGGCTCAAGCATCACATAGAAGCATTTAAACAAAATAATCTAATCCACCACATTCCATGTAACGACTGCAAAGTCGAACTAGTCAGTCAGAGTCAGTCAGAATAGTGGAACATAGGAATCCAGCTAAACATAGAATGACAGAGCCGAATAAAATGAATAATCTGGAGGGGAACTGGGCTGTTGCAATGCGCGCATTAACACACAGACACACAATCGGGTGTGATAAAAGCACTGTAGTCAAATCCAACAATATAATTAGGTGGAGAGAGACATTGATTACTCAATCATTGAACCATTCATTGAACCAACCAACATGCAACGCGTGTAATAGAAATGACGCAACACCCATACCAGAAATTTGGAAATCTTTACTTGCAATAAAAGCAGAGAATCTGAGGTGACAGGACTATGAAGAGCAGATGTCGAAAGTGTCGTGTGATTACATTGATATGATAATGAGCGATGATAGTTGATGCTGAAAACGTCGTCAAGTAAATAATACTATGTCACACTGTGTTATAAACCAAATGAACAAATCGAATATTGAATTAAATTCTACCCCAGTGCAAAATTTCTACAGATTGTCTTAATGTTTAAGTTTTGACAAGTTTCACCATGTGGTTAGTTTTTACTTCACCTAGTGTTGCAGTCATCTTGATTACTGACCACCCAGTTAATAGCCGGTTCATCACCAATAGACTGATTCATTATTTTGTATTTCGAAAATGCTACATAGTTGTGTAGCGACACTGATGAAGAGTTAGTCCAAAAGCAATCGTCTCTTCTTGAAGTGTCTCAATGGATAGTTTCGCATAGAATCTCAATGGGACTATACATAAGAAGTGAAAAGATATTCACAAGAAAGAGAGAAATTCTCGTTCAACTTTAGTTCATAAATTCGAAGCAGCATTATCATGTCTTAGATTGGATGTTGATAAGAAATGTGAACAATAATCAAAAATGTGATATGAAGGTAAGAAGATGTCAGGTTCTGTAACAAGATAATATAACTTAATTTCAAGGAAAATATGACAGAAAACAAGATCGGAATAAGCGTAAATGGGAGATAGTTTGAAAAACGATAAAACCGAACTGCAAATCGAACCAAGTAAATATTCATTTATTTTCGAAGAAGCTACTACCTGATAAATACTTGAAAACCACTTATTGGAGTGGATACACTTTCAATGATTCAACAAAGTTGACAGTGAATAGTGTTAGTTGATGGGAAGCAATCAGCGAGTAGACCTGGCCGACCTAGACTTCTTGTTTACCGGTACTCATCAGTAAGGCATATATCTACCTTCAAGAAACTAGACGTCCCATGATTCATTCGAACTCACATCACTCGGTACTCTGCAATCTGAGAAGTTACCTGTGAGCTAACCGAGCAGTGATCGATCTCCTGTAGGACTGGACTGGATACGTTGACTGGTTGGTTACTAGAAACCAACAAATTTCCTCTTGTCTAGTCCTGTGTGTCGATCGAAGTATATTGAACAAGTCTCAATGCTGCAACTGAGCTGGAGTACTAAGCTTCATGGTGCATTTTGAATAATGTCAGGTGATTGAAGATAATCATCAGGAAGCTCTGGATGTTGGTCTTTGATAGATTCACTTTCGAAGAATGAAAAGATGTGTATACTGCATTCGTCGAAACTAAATCAAAAACACTAAAGACGCGTTTTATAAGTGTTTATCGTGAGTAAACCGTTGTATCTCTGCAACCATAATCAATGGTTACATTGAAGTATTCCAAAGAGATTTGATATTCATCAACTAACACTATCGATTTATAACTAAGTCAAATAACCTGATCCATATAAATGACATCACTGATCAAGCATTTCATCCTACCGCCTTCAATCATCAACAGTCTACCAAACGTGGATAATCTCAAACAACCTGAATAACAAACAGGTGAATACATCAAATAATGAATTCTTTCCGATTAGAAACAAACGCGAAATCAACACTCTACACTCACTTGAAGTACCATCAGTTGTGTTATATTGTTTGTCGATTGGGTGGGCAGCTGAAAGAATAGACAGTAAGAAAGAGGTTTCTACAAAAATTGCTCCATAAATACTGGAACACAATTAAAATGTAGTAGTCACTCACTTCTATTTCTCTCTACTGGACATTATCAAAAAGCATTCACTCACTCACTCACTCACTTACATATTAACCAAATAAATAATTGAGTGAATAAGTTTCTGCCTACCTACCTACCTACCTACCTACCTACCTACCTACCTACCTACCTACTATACCTACCTCTAACTAACTAACTACCTAATCAACTAAACGATTTATTGAATAAATAAATGATTAACTGATCAAACAACTAACTGAGTAAATAGCTAAAAAACAAATAAATCACTAGGTAAACGACTAACTAACAAACCAATTTACTGACTAACTAACTAAATAAATGAGTAACTGAATGTCAAACTATTCAACTAATTAACTGAATAAATAAATAAATAACTGACTAACTAACTAACTAGCTTACGAAACAAACCAGTCAATAAATAATCAACCAAATAACTAAATAACTGACCAAATAAATAAATAACCCATTACTTAAATAACTAACTAAATAAGTAAGTGAATAAGTAACTGAATAACTGACAAGATAACTGACTGACTGACTGACTGACTGACTGACTGACTGACTTACTAACTACTAACAAACATATTATTGATATTAACTTTTGTTGCCCTATTTCTTCACACTAAATATCCTTTGAAGTATTCTCGGAAAATACATCCACTGGGACCTATATAGGATGAAAGGAACTGACTGCTTGGTCTGATAAAAGATGACTTCATCTGTACATTTATAATTCTGTCAACCTCAGTAGCCGAAGTATCTAGGGCATTCAGACAACACATCAGTTTGAATGATCCTACATATATGGAAGTTGAGAAACATTCTTTCCAATATCAAAGTGAAATAAATTTCAGTGAACACTTGTTTTCAATAACTTCTTCTTTAGGCTGTACTCAGTTATTAACCCATGAGAATAAGTGAAATATAACAGCCAAAATAAGGCATGATGTAGAATTTATAATATACTGAAAAAGTCAGTGTTATGGTGGGTGAATGGAGATGAAATCGAATGGAATGGTGGAGTTATTATTAGTCTAGTGTATTAGTTGTGCAAAGAAATCAATATTGATAGAACAATTACGAAGTGAAGAAACAAAATCTACAGATGATGATTCATTTATTGGGTGGGTCATGAATGTGTGCGTGTGTGTGTTTGTTTATTCCGGGTCAATTAATTATTGTGTAGCAATGAATTAAATGATGGATTGTGCATGGACTGAGAAGGCTGACTGGGGACATCATGCGTCAGGCCAGTCCGTCGAGTGGAACCCAGATGGGAAGCGATGAGTTGGGCGTTCGAGGTGAGTGTGACATGGAGGAGATCGTGCGAGGAGGAGACGAGAGGTTGTGGGCTGTCGTGGAGCCAGGTTGAAAAGATTTCAGAGAAGAGAGTGGAGTGGAGACGATACCGGACATCAGATTAAGATAGATCGAACCTTCTCAGTGATATACCATGTCCCTTGAAATCTCCCCCTTGGTACACCACTTCGTCTCTTATCCATAGCCAAAGCCATAGCGATCAATCCAACAAAGCCAGACCTATGTATTCAAAAGAGGTATGTACACTCACTTTACTTACATTGGCTCACAATACGGTTGACATCTTCTTGATGAAACTACATACAATAAATTTCAAAGTTCAACCTCCCATTCCTTTCTTCTAAATTGTTATTACATTGATAAACATTCATTCTCATATGTTATTAGTTTAACGTCCGTTTTTAGTCATACCAAAACTGGCAGTTATATTGGAGTGTGAAGTGACACTTCATATTAGCAACATAAATCAAGCAACTGCTCTATGAAGAAGCGTGAAGATCACAAAATACAACTCATACTTTAAACACATAGTGAAAAGATTGCAAAGAAGAAGGGAACAGCAGTCCTTCGTTAATCACTCTCCGTGAATAACAAGTGCGGTTGACATTCAGATTCTACTGTCAAATGAAGAAATTCAGTTTTAGACTTCTGGCTATCATCAACTCACTAAAGATAATGAATATTGAACTCAGGATTCAACTAACTGCTAAGTACTATCACTGACCAAATTGTGATCGGCAACCATGCACCATGACATAAACACCGGTAGGAATATTTTTTCATTTCAACATTAATTTGACGGTTCACATATGCGTGAATATCATGCAGAAGTTTGAAGGATTAACACGTCGAAACCTACACCGATCTGCTTGATCATAATTGTGATTACGCGTTGTTATACACGATCAAATTGGTCGAAACACACGTTATGGATTCCACTGTCAGCCATAAGTAAATTAAACATACAATGAATATTCACCGAGCATCGAAGCATCTGCTAAGCATTTTACCTGTCTACACAGGTGGGAAAATGTGACCCAGTGTATCAACGGGGGATGACCAGTATCAATAAACAACAACAACAACAACAACAACAACTGATACTGGTTGCAGAGAAGATGGATTTTGTATCTCAGTGACCCAATGGATAGGGCGATGTCTTTGGGAGCCATAGTTACAGAGCTCGAATGCGAGTAAATCTGACCGACAACTCCCGAATAGGACGAAAAACACGACCTACGTGCCACTACTAGCCAACAGTCTATTGTTTTCCACCTGGAAAATTTGTCAATTCTCTACAAAGTTCAAAATCGTTTACCACAGTGCCATTATATGAATGTGGTGAGGGATTTCGTTGAATTAGGACAAGCATATTGATCATTGGAGACACAGGTTATGATAGGACTGTGTATTTAACAAATATACATGAATCTGTCTCATATAGTATCTATGCTTTCAGTCACCTTCAAAAAGACACAATGATTTACACGAAAGTTATATCAGAGGATTGTACACATGATAGAAAATTGTTTGATAGCATTCAGGAACTACACAGTACTGACGATTTGAAACATTATAGGTGTTGTATTTGTCAAGGATATGGTTTGATTTCAAACCGAAGCTAACCCACACATTCACATCAAATAAAGTGTGCAGTTGAAGAACCGATTTTACATTCTTCCCTTCTTCATCTTCGAAATAATCATAATCCAGTCATGAGTGTGTTCCGTTTGTTCACTGAATAGTCTGAGGTGGGAATTGAGGTCATCGATGGGAATCATTTAAAGATAGACCAAATATGTAGTTTCATTGTAATTTATTCACGTATCCATCGCGTTTATCGGATTTTGCAATCAGGATGAAGCTGACAATGGAAAGTGGCAGTCAAGTAAACAAGTGTTCTTTTTGACTACCTGCACACCAATGCATATATGCATGATATTCGTGGGAAACATTGTACACTGCTGAAGATTCTTTTGAAGCGGTGGGCAATATCAATTGTCCAATGAAACAACTATTGAAATAACTTATGCTTAGATCAAAACCTCAATGCTGAACTAGATGTTCACCATTGTAACTTATTTTTCTCTAGTCGAGTTTTGCTTGTACAACATGATATATATTCGTGATAGATGCTGTAGTAATCAAGACATGCTATATAATAACTAGATATTCCGCTGACTCCTTGCAGAGCCTGAACTAGTCAATGGAAGCTAGGAAGTATTTGCAATTATGCAGTGGTCATGATAATAAAATATATCCTTATTTACAATCACTTTGAACAGGCTGATCTGTTTTATTAAGAATCATCTTTGTTAAGGGTTCAGCTGACAAAAAGCAAGAGAGTGAAATCTGTTTTCATCGTATGAACAAATGATCAACATATAAAATCGAATATGATAACTGAGTAACCACACAAACCAATCGACTGTGTCAACATATTACTGAGGTATATTCATCGTAATCTTCAGACTAGGAAAATACATCAGTAATAAAATTATAACGTTACACACCATATTGGGAATAAATACACCTGACACAAGTATATTTCCTTATATCCTTCACTAGTTCCATTGACTCACTCGTCGATCAACTGACTCTCATGATGATAAACACCCTCCAATCTACTTATAGTAACGTACAAAGCTGAAAGAATACAATTTATCCACATGTAGTTCATATGAGATAGCTAAACGTGAGTTGAAATCGAAGTGATGTAATCAGTCCTTATTTTGTAGATGAGAAAGTAAACGTTGATTTGGATACACAACAAGACTGCAAATAGATTTGCAGGCTTTGTATCACTGATAACTCTGTACACACAATTTCATTGTGGAATCTCCAATTTATGTCATCTGTGTCTGTGAAATCGTAAACGACTATTGAGTGAAGAAGCTGAGCTCAAATCCCAACTTGAAATGTATTGCAGTTCAACGTGAATGCCATTCTCGAAATCTGAAATTCTATGAAATCTTTCAAAAATTCTGGATTATATTTATTCAGTTTGGAGGGTTTTTGAGATTTCAATTATTGTCGAGGTGGTGCTCATCATAACTGAACGTCACTTGTATAAGCTCTTGTACCTCGAAGCACTCTATAAGGGTTTAATCCTTATTATTATGGAAATTTTCTTTTGTGTGTCTCAATGATGCCGCCACACGTGAGATCTAATCCATTCACTTCAAGTTTCTTGAAGAACACACGTGGAATTCAACCATGTGGTGTGCGGGTATCAAATGGTCGACATCTTCATACTTTTTTCACTCAGCGAAATAATACGACCAGCTTCTACTGCCACTGTCGAGCATTCGTCATCACCTGCAACTTGGTTTGCCATTGGGTCGCGACTTTTCATTAGAGCTTTGTAAACATCTCATCTGAAATCAAGTCACCATGAGGGATGTGACAGAATTAGGTTTGCGTACACCATTGGATTACTTATGAGTTCCTCAACAGTGATTACGTGGACACGAAGACTGAGGGTGGTTAGTTAACTCGATATCTAGTGGGATCACAGGTGCACTGTGCTTACTGGTGGCATACTCCGAATACACGTTTGACCAGTGCTCCAGCTTCTCAGTGGCTCCGCGAATAGCCTCAGTACTTGTCGAATTTCCTTTCTGATATAAAGATTTTACTGGCATATTCTAGCACACCGTTTTTATGTATCATCAACATGAAAGCATATCTCTGAATCATTTATATTAGGTATGTCTTAGCACACCATATTTATATACCCTCGGCATGTGAATAGACCTGCAACCCACACATTTCACGTAGCTACACACGCCGGCCATTTCAGATTGTTTTTTACATTTTTATAGACAAGTACATCTGATAATTATTCTTCCACAGATTCACCTACGGAAACCATGTTACGACTTCTATTCGCTCTAAATAGTCAAATTACGTCGTCTTCTCAGCATCAGTCGAGCTGCAAGCAACTTCAGCGACACCAATCCAATGGCTTCTGTAAACCATTCAATCGGTAGTAGTGACGTGCGATGTGTACAAAGGGCAGGGACGTAGACAGTGCAAGCTGATGACATGCAGTTACCGGTGATTCCTCCTTCGTGGGTAGTAATTACAAGACTCGATCCCACTCATGACGGTGACGAAATAGTTTACCCAACCCCTTTCGGGCCAGGTTTCCGAATTCACTAGCACACTCCTTGTGGAGCACGTGTGGCCTCGGATATCTAAGGGTATTACAGACCTGTTATTGTTCACTTCTGTGCTACTTATGTGTACTGCTTGTCCCCAGACGTAGTAAAGCCTTGCGGTGTACACACCGGAAAACAACCACAACACTAAATAAGGAGGCAGTTGAAGCCACACAGATGACCAGTCGACTACTTAAGAGATTAAAGTCTGGTTCATTATCAGAATTAGCCAGACATATCACCCCACCAACCAAGAACGGCCATGCACCACTCAACTCAAAATGCCTGTCTTCACTTACTTGTCATGACGAGAAAGACTGCATTACACTAACTATGCATAGGCGCGCAACTCCTATTCTCACAGATTATTTACGTTTCAAGTAGTTGTTCCACGTATATGCTTTATTGTATGGTTTATGAATTTCTGAGGGAAAACTAAATTTCGAACACAAAGAAAGTCAAGTTGGTTAATAACTGTGAAATCTAACCATCAGTCACAACTGATGACTTCCAAGTTAGTTGTTAGTATATTGGTTGCGAAATGAATTCAGCAGCTGCAAACGCCTTCTGTTGCCCTTCCAGTGTCACCGCCATTGGCAACAATGACGGGAGAAATGTGGAGGAATGAATATCGGATCTCATAAAGCCAATTACTGGCAGTTCTAGAGTTGAAGGATTTATGTATGCATCTGCAGTAAAACCTCGTTGTTGTCGATCGACGAAAATAAGCATTTATAATGGTGTTAAGAAATGCTTAATTCCTTTTGAAAAGTCCACGACTCGGCTGGAGGAGAAGTGAGTTTTAATAAAGGTGTAGACTTGACGCATTTGGAGAAGGTTTGTTTGGTTTTATCTGCCTGGGAGTTGTGGCTGAGAAGATGAAAGTGTGTTTAAAACATGATTGAATTTTCTGTAACATCTATGCCTAATGCCAAACATCATAGATAGACAGACAAACAGGCAGAGAGACGGACATATAGAACAGATCAAAGAAGAACCTCATGCATACGTTCATCAGTTCAAGTCACAAACTCACTCAGATAGAAGCATTGTTGGCTGGCTCAAGCATCACATAGAAGCATTTAAACAAAATAATCTAATCCACCACATTCCATGTAACGACTGCAAAGTCGAACTAGTCAGTCAGAGTCAGTCAGAATAGTGGAACATAGGAATCCAGCTAAACATAGAATGACAGAGCCGAATAAAATGAATAATCTGGAGGGGAACTGGGCTGTTGCAATGCGCGCATTAACACACAGACACACAATCGGGTGTGATAAAAGCACTGTAGTCAAATCCAACAATATAATTAGGTGGAGAGAGACATTGATTACTCAATCATTGAACCATTCATTGAACCAACCAACATGCAACGCGTGTAATAGAAATGATGCAACACCCATACCAGAAATTTGGAAATCTTTACTTGCAATAAAAGCAGAGAATCTGAGGTGACAGGACTATGAAGAGCAGATGTCGAAAGTGTCGTGTGATTACATTGATATGATAATGAGCGATGATAGTTGATGCTGAAAACGTCGTCAAGTAAATAATACTATGTCACACTGTGTTATAAATCAAATGAACAAATCGAATATTGAATTAAATTCTACCCCAGTGCAAAATTTCTACAGATTGTCTTAATGTTTAAGTTTTGACAAGTTTCACCATGTGGTTAGTTTTTACTTCACCTAGTGTTGCAGTCATCTTGATTACTGACCACCCAGTTAATAGCCGGTTCATCACCAATAGACTGATTCATTATTTTGTATTTCGAAAATGCTACATAGTTGTGTAGCGACACTGATGAAGAGTTAGTCCAAAAGCAATCGTCTCTTCTCAAAGTGTCTCAATGGATAGTTTCGCATAGAATCTCAATGGGACTATACATAAGAAGTGAAAAGATATTCACAAGAAAGAGAGAAATTCTCGTTCAACTTTAGTTCATAAATTCGAAGCAGCATTATCATGTCTTAGATTGGATGTTGATAAGAAATGTGAACAATAATCAAAAATGTGATATGAAGGTAAGAAGATGTCAGGTTCTGTAACAAGATAATATAACTTAATTTCAAGGAAAATATGACAGAAAACAAGATCGGAATAAGCGTAAATGGGAGATAGTTTGAAAAACGATAAAACCGAACTGCAAATCGAACCAAGTAAATATTCATTTATTTTCGAAGAAGCTACTACCTGATAAATACTTGAAAACCACTTATTGGAGTGGATACACTTTCAATGATTCAACAAAGTTGACAGTGAATAGTGTTAGTTGATGGGAAGCAATCAGCGAGTAGACCTGGCCGACCTAGACTTCTTGTTTACCGGTACTCATCAGTAAGGCATATATCTACCTTCAAGAAACTAGACGTCCCATGATTCATTCGAACTCACATCACTCGGTACTCTGCAATCTGAGAAGTTACCTGTGAGCTAACCGAGCAGTGATCGATCTCCTGTAGGACTGGACTGGATACGTTGACTGGTTGGTTACTAGAAACCAACAAATTTCCTCTTGTCTAGTCCTGTGTGTCGATCGAAGTATATTGAACAAGTCTCAATGCTGCAACTGAGCTGGAGTACTAAGCTTCATGGTGCATTTTGAATAATGTCAGGTGATTGAAGATAATCATCAGGAAGCTCTGGATGTTGGTCTTTGATAGATTCACTTTCGAAGAATGAAAAGATGTGTATACTGCATTCGTCGAAACTAAATCAAAAACACTAAAGACGCGTTTTATAAGTGTTTATCGTGAGTAAACCGTTGTATCTCTGCAACCATAATCAATGGTTACATTGAAGTATTCCAAAGAGATTTGATATTCATCAACTAACACTATCGATTTATAACTAAGTCAAATAACCTGATCCATATAAATGACATCACTGATCAAGCATTTCATCCTACCGCCTTCAATCATCAACAGTCTACCAAACGTGGATAATCTCAAACAACCTGAATAACAAACAGGTGAATACATCAAATAATGAATTCTTTCCGATTAGAAACAAACGCGAAATCAACACTCTACACTCACTTGAAGTACCATCAGTTGTGTTATATTGTTTGTCGATTGGGTGGGCAGCTGAAAGAATAGACAGTAAGAAAGAGGTTTCTACAAAAATTGCTCCATAAATACTGGAACACAATTAAAATGTAGTAGTCACTCACTTCTATTTCTCTCTACTGGACATTATCAAAAAGCATTCACTCACTCACTCACTCACTTACATATTAACCAAATAAATAATTGAGTGAATAAGTTTCTGCCTACCTACCTACCTACCTACCTACATGCCTACCTAACTAACTAACTACCTAATCAACTAAACGATTTATTGAATAAATAAATGATTAACTGATCAAACAACTAACTGAGTAAATAGCTAAAAAACAAATAAATCACTAGGTAAACGACTAACTAACAAACCAATTTACTGACTAACTGACTAAATAAATGAGTAACTGAATGTCAAACTATTCAACTAATTAACTGAATAAATAAATAAATAACTGACTAACTAACTAACTAGCTTACGAAACAAACCAGTCAATAAATAATCAACCAAATAACTAAATAACTGACCAAATAAATAAATAACCCATTACTTAAATAACTAACTAAATAAGTAAGTGAATAAGTAACTGAATAACTGACAAGATAACTAACTGACTGACTGACTGACTGACTGACTGACTGACTTACTAACTACTAACAAACATATTATTGATATTAACTTTTGTTGCCCTATTTCTTCACACTAAATATCCTTTGAAGTATTCTCGGAAAATACATCCACTGGGACCTATATAGGATGAAAGGAACTGACTGCTTGGTCTGATAAATGATGACTTCATCTGTACCTTGTTGTGGAAATTTGGTGACGAATGCCAACCTTCGTATATAGGTTACCAACTGATAGCTTCATGCTTTGGTATTTCCTTCCTACATATGCATTTGACTTTACCATTTTCTAATTTATCAGAGGCTTCATTGCTGTCTGCTTTCTGTGACCTGTAGGGCAATGATTTTCGCGTGCCCATGCCAACAATTTTTTTAAATCCTAACACTTTCTAGAGAGACTGACAACCATTCAGCGATCCTCTCTTATGATGGCCCATGTGAATATGGTCTCACTGTATACATCATATGTTTGATATCGGCAGATGCCAAGGGACAGAGTGTCTCTGCTTATGCTCGAATTCATAGCTGACCAGAAAGAAGTGATTGTCACACCAAAACTGCAATATGCAATCACTGTCATCATTTTATTAGCGTGAGATTTCGGAGATACCTCCTTTTCGATCTGTTAAACCTCCCCACTTGAGCGTTGAAGTCACCCACTGTTATGACTATATCCAGACACTCTACTTTCTGTGGCGAAATTCGCAGCTTCTGATAGAATTCATACTTTCCGTCAATAATCAGTATTCACCTATGAGGAGACGGATGAACATATGATCTGATACAGTGAATTATACCTAGTTCTGGCGCCAAAAAATTCTACGTATCTTTTTTGAAACCGTGTTGTTTCCGGCTAATAGAAATAAACATTCCTTATGTTGATGTACTGCATAAAATCTTTTTGAAAAACTTTAAATTTTGACCAGAGGAATAAGCTGTTGCAAGACGTGTGTTTACTCACCTGGAACGGGTGTGTCCCAATCTTCCTGACTATTAGGTACGTCTGAGAAGATAAAAATAAGTGCGTGTTGTGTTTACCATATGAACGAATGATCTGGTTGATTGGTATCAATCATCATCAATATTTATGTATAAATGTATATGTCGCCCGAAATGAAAAAATGTTGGCTGAACCAGCCGACAAAGAAATTTACCGTCAGATTGAAGGTTTGGTAATGGGTTCACCATTAGGTCCTCTTCTATCCAGTATGTTCATGGCAAAGTCGGAAAGTGAGCCACTGCGTAGCACGATAGATAAACTATCCTTCTATTGCAGATACATGGATGACACTTTCATTCTGTACAAAAGGATTCTAATCCTGAAATTCTTCTTGATACGTTCAACAGTGCTCATCCAGAAATCGAGTTCACGTGTGAAACAGAGAAACACGGATGTCTACCATTACTAAATGTTTTGCTGTCAAGACAAACAGATTGCAGTTTCAGACTCTGTATTTATCGTAAAGAATCATAGGTCGGTCAGTATACACATTTCCAATCATTTGTTCCTCTTACGTACAAAAGGAATTTAATTTGCACACTGATGTTTAAAGCCAGTAAGATTTGCACAGTTGATAATTTGAACGAGAAATCAATAACAATGGAGAACACGCTATACGAGAATGGCTACCCTGAAAAGTTTGTAAGGACTGTGATAATGAAAACGGCTACAGAAAAGTGTCTTCAAATGGTTCCGACGGAAAGACCATATCTAACCTTAGCTTCCAGAGGAGATGCAGCCACATAAACGCTGACATTGAAACCCAGAAATCTGATACCGAAAAGCATTCTTTGCCGCTACACCTTGTTTGAAATTTACCACTTACTGCATGATGCCAATGCAGTTGAAGAATAGGCTTCCAAATCTGGCCAAATCTGTGTACGTATATAAATAAATTTGACTGCTTCTGAAGAGATGGTTACATATATAGAACGACTCGGCAAGTCCATCATCGCTTGATTGAACACTGTCCAGCAAAGTTAAGTAAAGGCAAAGGAAAAGCGAAATCTATTTAAAGCTCAATACTTGCCTATCTAGTATATACTGAGCATCAGATCGAAACAACCTCAGCATTTACTATTATTTACACAGTCGCATCACAATACCCTATGTTTGTGCGTCTCCGGTTCCTAAGCATGGCAGAAGCCGTAGCAATTACAAGTTTCAAGCCTAATTTATGTATTCAGATGTTTGCTCATTCCCTTTACTCCCCATGGCCATTAACTTCAACCCAGATACAATTACAATAATTTCCCTATTTATATCAGGTAACTCCACAACTGTGAAACATGGTTTATATACTTCTAATCGTCCTTCTTTCGTATTCATAAGGTGGTTGATTGTTCAATATACCTTGGACCCGTGCAGAATCATTCCTGTAACTGTAGGTGTTTGGTGTTGATTCGATAAACAATGGAATCGGTTATCAATCTCTTCTTCACTCCATCCAACTAGGTTAGTTTTGAATACTGCCACTCTATCCCATCCTGCTGCTTGATTGTGTGTAATTGCTTGCATAGTTATAGCGGTGTTTTTTTCTAAATCTCATATCTACCAATCTTCATTTAGCTAAGACTTTGTGCTATGTTATTCTAACTGACCTTAGTCGATTACTTTGACCAATGTATTTAACCTCGTAGTCTTTGCAAGGGTTTCGGTGAACTAAATTATTCTGCCTAAATGGATCAATAGACTATTTTAATCTACAAGTAGATTTCACGACAAAAATTCAGTAAAGGAGGCAATCCAATTTATCTCTGGCTTAGAAAGTGATAATGATGTACCAGTAATGTTGGATTGCAGGATTAAATTGAATGGAAGCTCAAAGACTAGTGTCTATCAGGAACTATTCCATTCAAATCGCTACTTTGACTTAGAAATGAGCCTTTTATGTTAAAAATTCTATTGATCCAATTAGGAGAAATAACTCACCTTACAGAAGTCCTCCCAACGATTTCAAGGTCAAATACACACATCGAAGTTGTCAACCAGTCTATCCGAGCACAAAAGTTGGCTAAAACGATATTATCAGATTTTAATAAGATGAAAATGCCAGAAAAATGTTTCACTTTAGCTGTGCATATGACTGCACACTATCACACAATCAGATGAGATAAAGCAGCAGTATTCAAGACTAACTCAAGTGGTTGGATGAAGAGATGAATACCGAATCTCTGTCTACCAAATCAACACCAAATAAATGCAATAGGAATAATACTGCAATCTATCAATAAGAAAGTGAAAGAATTAGAACCATATAAACCATGTCTGAAGGTTGTTGAGTTACCTTGATATAAATATGAACAATAAATTATGTTCGAAACGTGATCCCCTAGTAAATAATATTGTTCCATTGTGTAATACACTTTATAAAGGGACCAAAATGAAAACAGCTTATATTTTCCTAGAAATTCCATAAAGAATAACTTTGAATATACTATTAAAACTCTAACTCTTATTGGAGAGAAAAACTACTTTAAACCAAAATGTGAACTTACCCAAGTATGGTTTTATGGGTTTATGTTTTTTTCCAACTGACAGAGAAGAGAAATATCAATGTTTTTATTAAATTACCTCTGACAAAATAACCTACAATTTACCAATCACACATATATTGCAAGCCAAAAGAAATTTCAACAACCTTTGTATAATTCTGTAGTTCTCAACTGATATTCCAAAATATTAATCTATGTGGATGTTATACTTTCGAACGCTAATGGTTATATGTATATATTCCGGAATGAATATAATACTCACGCTTAGCTGACAGCTAACTAAGTACAAAAGAGCCACTGACTGCAACCCCGGGGACGAATAGAGAGAAGACCGAACCTGGCAGATGAGAGAATGTATTACTCTGAGAATATAATAATGAATCAATCCAAAAACACGTGAATAATTATGCACATGAAAAATGACCTTGTCCTCAATTTAAGGCATTTGCACGTTAAAATGTTCAGATCAGTAACAATGTTTTACACAAACTGGGGTATCACAACAGTGGAGCACTTCAGGAAAAAATTACTTTTAATTACTGGCATCTAACCATATTTTGACTTAAAATAGTGAGCAATAAATCAAGCGCGCTGAAGTGTAGTCTCTGTTTGGATTTCAGATCAACTTGTGTATCCAACTATAAAAAAGTGTCAGGAAGCTTTTTATAACAATATGACATCAATACTCTATTCCTTGAAAATCCAAGCTAGCCATTCTATTTTACAGAATAAGCATGTAACTCACAGATTTGTAGAAGTTGTTCAAACACTTCTCTGAAGAATTTCAACTACCTGCATGTGGTTTGGCATCACTGATTTATAATCTTCCAGTTAGGTGTTTTTATCCGATTATACGGAGACCAGTAACTGTAAGTGAACCAACGGATATTGTATGACAAGATCTGACTGGATACGTTAACTACAAACACTGTTTAACCCGGGCCAAAATAAAAGCCTGGTTTGACAGAACCTGGCGTTCGTTCCCCAAACACTTCGAGAAGAGATTATTATATTATTATTTGTCCCTTGGGTTCCTAATAGAACATAAGGCTCCAGTAGCACATCTCCACTCCACTCTCTTCTCTGAAATCTTTTGAACCTGGCTCCACGACAGCCCGCAAACTCTCATTTCCTCCTCCATGTCACACTCAGCTGGGACGCCCAACTCATCGCTTCCCATCTGGGTTCCACTCGACGGACTGGCCTGACGCGTGATGTCCCCAGTCAGCCTTCTCAGTGTATGCCCAATCTAGTCCATCTCCACTTTCTTCTGCATATTGTTGAACGATGAGTTCTTGATTGGTTCGTTCCCAGAGTTCCTTGTTGCCTATTTTTTCTGGCCATCTGATCTTCAGTAGTTCGAGAAGAGATAAAACCATAAAAAACCTCCCCCACACAACTTAGTGATAACACAACTATGCTATTATTCTTAGGAGTACTATTCAGTCCACTTTTCAGTCTGCATGCTCCTGATCATTTAGTTTTCTAGTGATTCCACTGTCTCGATAAACTAAGTTGACAGCTAATTTCAGTTTACATTTCGCGATAGAAGCTACCCTATCGATACACCATTTAAATAACAAAAGGAGTGATAAGTAACCTTGGTCTTTTTACCGGAAACATGATCACACAGAGATTCGCATAATAGTTTGTAAAACAGCTAGGCTTGCTGCTCTATTGATCAGAATAAAATCCCTATGCAGGGAAAAGTGGGTCATTCTTAGTATCTGAAGATAGGTCACTTGAATAGCTAGGTCACTGCTCAACCTGAAGCACTTTCATGTTTGACTTAACAAATCTGAATAAAGCAGAGGAATCTGCTAAACGAAATCATTTCTTAGTTTCTCTTTGAATACAATAAAATTTAAGGTTAATTTGACGTCATTTATAAACCTTGGGTGATTTTTTCAAATATACTGAATGCATATAGAGCAAATTATTGTCATCGATATTCAGATCATAGCTATTACATACATGCCATTGAAAAATTACAGCGCCAGATTAGATGTAATCGAAATGTGAATAAATTTTGAAGTCGTATATTAGATTGATCACCTGATATAGCACACAGTGATGCAGCATAATTTAATGCATGACGTTTCAAGCAGAATTTATTCTTCAATATTCATATCTAAGTAATCATACAAATTACAAACCTCAGTTATGTAGTCCAACTGTTCATTCATTCCTTCATTTGGATGGTTGTAAAATATTTTATATATTCACAGTAAGTACCGAGTCATTCCTCTTACGTGTGTGTTAGGTGTGGATTGAATGAAGGAAAATTCCGTGATCACTGTTCCCCTTCAACTAGCTTTATTGAACCTTAGAATGAATAGTCAGCTTATCCAACTGTATCTGATATGATTATAGGTCAGTGCATGCAGAGTGATAGCCAAGATTTCTCTAAATCGATTATCTTACCACGGTCTACCGTCGTATGTTTGTTTCTCTTAACTAATATGCTCTGCTATTGTGGCTTACTCAGATCTGCTGATTTGACCTGTATACTTGACCTCACACATATTACATGGTATCTGATAGATTGATTTATATTTTTCAGTTGGCTGTATTGGATATTTTAGCCTGCAAAGTTTCTCTCTGAGTGAATTTGTGGATTTAAACGCCACCCTAATCTCAGCATTGCTAGGAATTCCAAGTTAAATCTCCTCTGTGCCTTCTTAGTACGGGGACACTACAAAATAGTTAAATTCCCTCTTAGGCAGGTTGCAGTCACAATGAGCATTTCCACTCTTCTCTCATCACTCTTACACACACTTTTAACGAAACCTAATTAGTTATTTAAGTGTTTGCAAGGATGGTTTTAACAGTCATCCATTTTTAGAATGGCTTTAAGACCACCCTGGAAAATGCTGAAATAACTAATCAGTTTTCACTATTCCAGCCAGAAAGTCTTCTCCATAGAATAAATAAACATAATTGGTTATCTCAGTAATGGTATGATTGATGTTTAATGTCACTGTAATTGCTATAGTAAGGACCAGAGTTCGGCATTTCCTTTAACCGGTTCATCATAGGATCAAACAGAACAGGAAATCCAAACTGTTGTTAAGACTAGTAATAACACCATTCAGATTAGGGATGTAATAGTGGTGATGGATCTTCATTGACAGAAAAATTGTCTTCATCGATTGAACAGTATAAATAAGTCCTCGATCAGCAACACAAAACATTTAAATACGTACAACGTCTCATATCATAAGTGTATTTACACGACTCATATAAATAAAGTGCTTATTTCCGTTAACGTCCCATGTACAGTTGCTAAATTTCACTACTGACCGGAGGAAGAAATTAAATTTGCTGAATGTTTAAAATGAATTTAATAAACTTTGATGTTACTACCCGAGAAGACTTTAACCACACGAGAAGAAAAGATATTTAACTTCCTTTTTATGTAATTCCGTTTTAGTCTGTTTATTAGATGTGTCACGCTGCAGAACAGTGTTGTTTAATGGATAAATTTTAGGAGGTAATTCATTGTTCATAGTCATGTCAAGGTAACTGCACAACTCTGAGAAGTGACTTATATAGTTATAATATTCTCTTCTTCTTTGTGACAACAGTAGTAGATTTTTCCTTTATCTGGGACAGGTGGAGAATAATTCCCCTTACTGTATGTATTTGGTGTTGACTCGATAAACAAGGATTTGGTTATCAATCTCCCGCTTCGCAGAAATAAATCAGCTTTTAATACTGTTACTCTGTCAAACCCATCCCTGCCTTGTTGTAAAATCTAGGTAACGCTTTGATGGCGGCTTTTTGTGTAGTAACGCAGTAGAGGCTTTCAATTCTCTCTCCACCTAGTCACCATTATTACTACCACTATTATCAATTGTATTGCTATTATTCATCCATTCGTGGATGACAAGACCAACAAAATGGCTAACTTACCTCCAGATTAGATGTTTTATTTGATGTAGCATACAGTAATACAGTATAATTTATTGGACGACGTTTCCAGCAGAATTTATTGTTCAATATTCATTTCAAAGTAATTACGAGAATTTCAAACTTCCTTTCTATATTCCAACTGTTCTTCATTCTTTGATTTGAATAGTTGTAAAATATTCCATATATTTACAGTAAGTACTGAGCCAGTCCTCTTACACGTGTTGGATGTTTATCAGACTAACAAAGGTTGTGTGATCAGTTTCTCCCTCCACCTATCTTTATTGAACCTTAGAATAGTCAGCCTATCCAACTGCATCTAGTGTAATTAAAGCTAATCTATCAATACCATGTAATATGTGTGAGGTCAAGTATACAGGTCAAATCAGCAGATCTGAGTAAGCCACAATAGCAGAGCATATTAGTTAAGAGAAACAAACATACGACGGTAGACCGTGGTAAGATAATCGATTTAGAGAAATCTTGGCTATCACTCTGCATGCACTGACCTATAATCATATCAGATACAGTTGGATAAGCTGACTATTCATTCTAAGGTTCAATAAAGCTAGTTGAAGGGGAACAGTGATCACGGAATTTTCCTTCATTCAATCCACACCTAACACACACGTAAGAGGAATGACTCGGTACTTACTGTGAATATATGAAATATTTTACAACCATCCAAATGAAGGAATGAATGAACAGTTGGACTACATAACTGAGGTTTGTAATTTGTATGATTACTTAGATATGAATATTGAAGAATAAATTCTGCTTGAAACGTCATGCATTAAATTATGCTGCATCACTGTGTGCTATATCAGGTGATCGATTTAATATAGAGTTATACTCTACGAAATGGCCAAGTTTTCCCCTCATATTTACCAACTTGAATCTAAGTTTGTTTCTGTTGTTATATGGAATGTTATCAATATCAGTATTGTTTTTCGTTTCAAGTAGGTTTTATTTACTAATTTCCTTTTTGTGTCTTTGTATGCGTATGTATATGTCTAAATCTCACTCTATATTGCTAAAACAATGAATTCATTTATAGCTGGTAGTTGTGAATAGATTTGTGTACATATCAGTGTACTAGAAAACTCGCCAAAGTTTACATGAATATATATTACACAAGTACGTTTGACTTACTTGAATTTTCGGAGAGACCTGTAATATGAGAAGATTACTGAAGAGTAGAGAATCGGGATATGATAAAATCTATCTAAAATATCAGTGTGATTATCTTAGGTAGCCATGGTTCAACAGACTAGTATTATTGATACTGGGTGATGATTGAAGTTGAAGGAAAAATCTGTTTCACCTCATGGTTCCAACCAGCAACCTCTGAGTTACTCACCTTGACATCTACTAACTCATCTCTGACAGTTAGCTGCAAACAGCTTTTGAATTTCACTTCGATTAGCGAAATTTTTTCTGCTTGTTACATGAATCCATGATAGATGACTGTCTGTCATCGAATTCATTCTGGTTACTGAGTCACATCAACTAGTCTTAATCTAAATCGAAATGAATCAGAGAGAGGAGCGTCTAATTGGTCACCACTGTCACACTCTCAGATATCAGTGGTTAAGATTCTCGGATTATTGGCATTAGGTGGTTAAATAGTACATATTTAAGCTTAATATCAGTTATTGTTTTGTAACTCAGGTTACAGACATCAGTTACATGTTTTTCTCCTTCATTAGGGAAATATTTGTTTACAAAACAACACCTTTACGCTTTCGCCACTTTCATAAGGAACTACTGATGAAAGTCAACTTTTACAGGAGATGAAATACTGAACGGATGTTACGAACACAACCTGAGTCCAAGTAGTATACAGTCAAGTGTATATCAACACAAACATGAATGATATTCGTACCCATAATGCCAAACTTATTTACAAGTATGTTTCAAGAAGATATCTTCATGCTCGTGATAACCTGAACATATGTCTATGATATTTCGAGGATACATGCGTTGTTTTTAAACATGACACTAACCGAACATTGTTAGATAAGGTGAGAACTAGATTCTTCAGTAGCAGGTTTATCTCGGTAACAAAATCAAAAAAGGATGAACTACGCTTCGCTGATTGTCAATTTACGAAAGGGGAGGAGGAGGAGAAATAGATGAAGACGGGAAATTGATAGAATAAAAGTATACAACCGAAATCCTTAAAATGAATACTTCTGGTTCGTGTTTTGTTTGCAAAGTCGGAAATAACATCAAATAGTCCGCAAAGTACTCCAAAGTTACTGCCCATGACAATAGTCATCCTTAACCGATCAGACACACTGTAGATGGGATTAGGTAGGTGCGCAAAAATCACACTACCAGAATGCTCCTCATAACAACAAACACTCTACAGAGTACATTGGTTCATATGAAAGACAAAATTCCCAAGGATTCACAATTTCATTTTGTTCATAACACAAAATGCTTAGACAACGATGCAGTATACACAGAGCAAATTATTCGTGAAATCTAAGCAATAAAAAGGAGAGGCTGAAAGTTCCTGGAGATTCAGTGAAGTTCAAAAAACTTGAAAACACTTGACAAATAGCACTTCACGTCATAATATCAAATGAAGAAGACACTTGGACAATGTTGAAGTTACTCAGAAAGATTTTAAAATATGTCACAACAGAGTTCGTTCACCTAAAAACGAAATCAAAATTATCCGAGGACGAATGATGGAGAAAATGTACATTTATTCTTCGCTACATAGTAACTGACTTCATTATGTCTCTTGTGAGGCGCTGACTTTGTAATTTGTATTCTAAGTTAAGGGATTCAACATTATGATGTACTTTGACGAATGCTGGTTTGACAGGAAGCCTTACCCAGCCCATATTTTATGCCTGTTAGGATTAGTCAGCAAAGCGTATCTGTAACCTTGTGGAAACTAATATACCCTCGGGGAATTCATACTCGCGTCACCTAGCGCTGCAGTCAGCAACCACAACAAACAGCTATTTGGGCTGTAAAGGAATGGAAAAATGAAGCCTGATTTAATCTAAGCCCACAAACTGTCTTAACCAATACATATGCTTTATGAGCTCCAAAATGTGATTCAAAGACTCACCATACTTGACGTACTGCATTAGTCAGTTATCCCTTATAATCACTTGACAACGTAAAACTGTCCATCCACAAGAACGTCGCTCAAATTATCGTCTATAAACTTGGATGTTGTCAATCCCGGCTTATTATCACTATGATGATAGTGAAACGTTAGTGAAAATATGCTCATTCTGTTATTCATTAATTGGAAAATACAGTGTTGGATATTATTTAACCAATATACAAAAAAACTTTCAAACTATTCAATTCCAATTTCGTCTGCATATTTATAATAGAACTGCAGATTACGAGAGGAAACTAGCGATCCTATATTTTACTGAAGACCTGATTATTGGCAGTGTCGAATCAAAACTGAGTGATAGACTGAAGGAAATCAATAATGTGTTCGATAGAAGGGTCAAGATGAGACAGAGACCAGTGAACCAGGTGGGAAAACAAACTAAGTAGTTAAATAGTTAATTTGATGCAAATAAACTGCAGAAACTGCGAAATACACATTATTTGACAGAATAGTCGCCTTGTTTACATCCTTCTACATGAACATCAACTAGGAGTGAACTGTCATCATATATCTTCGCTCATATCAATACTTACAAACAATCGACTGGGAAGATGTGGAAATCTTGATATTCATATCAGTCAGCGGTTAACAGACATGTGGACGATGACCCAATCTGTCCACCAGGAAGAAACATAAGAAATGAAATGAAGGTGGAAGTTTTCTTTGGTAGGACAACCAATGAAAATAATCACGGCAGAAAGGACCAGTCACAGTCAAAGTCATCAGAACAAGCTGATTGTGGAGAAAATCCCACAGCTGATTTTATTCTAAATTTTGTGCTGATGAATGTTGTTAAAATGATGATGAAGGGGACTAAGCGATTAAACGATCCAGCTTGGAGAACATAATACCATCAAAATCATCCTTCTGAGCTACAAATATTCTCCATCCTTTTATTGCTTTGCTAAAGAATTTTTTGCTGAAGTTTTCACAAATAGCATCAGTTATTACTGATAAAATAAAGCTTTGTCTCTTTGACTCTACTGAACTTCCCTTCAGTAGCATTAGTGGCTGGATGAGTGTGTCATCTGTAAGATATGTGTCCATGAACCATTTAATTATTTTAAACAAATGGCGAACTTTTTACAGAAGGTAAAAAATACACCGCTAATTAGTCCAACTGCATGAGGTTCTGAAATAATCTACTCAAGATACCTAAAACAGAAATTCACTGTTTAGGTTACTAATTTGGTGGACTGAATCTGAAATTATGCGTGAAAGGTTTTTAACTACTCATATCATTCAGTAGTATATTTATATGATTACCTAGTGCAATTTTTATCTTTTACGGTGACTAATACTCTAATTAACCTGCAATAAGTAATGTTTAGGGAACAGAGAAAGGCTCATTTATCAATTTAGAACAGTTCAGAACAACAAGATGTTTAAGTAATTATTTGTGAGTGAAGTTGAATATTCAGTGAATGAATGTGTCTAAGATGTGAATGATGAACAAAAATGCGCTTCAGTATAGTATTCATCACGGACTAACATCAGTCGAATAACAGCTGACAACCTATGAGCACTTGACAGCCGTTTCATCCCATTAGGGAACTCCTCAGAAGTATGCGTCCGCGACTCCGTCACGAATCGAATTAGGACCTTCAGTTCTCACGGTGAACCCATTATTCATTCAGAATCTAAACTTTCTTCGTCCGAGGTCTTCGGTGGGCACCCATTTCCACCTCGGGTTAGAGTTGTCCCTTAGGTTACAGCTTCACATCAGAACTTCATGATATCCATTCCGAAACATGTTGCTAACGATGGCTAGACAGTAATTTAGTTTCATGTTTGTGGGGATTTGTTTATTTCACGGCAGTATTCGTAACGAATTGACATCATGTACTTCGTTCTACACGATAAGGCAACAAATAATTTTCCGTTGGTCTCATAAACTGGGAATCTCGCAAGTAACAAGGATAATTATATCAGAAGTAATTACTTCACTGGATCATATTTTCTTATTTGTAGCTGAAAATCATTCAATGGAGTCTCATAAATGCGTTGTACTTAGTTGCGCCATGCCACCAACACTTGCTTTAAGTCTTAGTTATTTCTTATCAAACCAACTATCTGGAAAGTTTCAAATGTCACGAACTATTATGGTCTGCTACTTGAATCAGTTTGAAAGCAGTAGAGATGAGCTTGTCAGTAAGGTAAATAAAAAAGTGGTTGGTGTTTCAAACATTCTGACTTGGCTAGTTTATGCTACTTATTTGCCACAGTAATTTTTAACTACTTTTCTTTTGATTAGTAGTATACACATTTAGAAAAATATTTAGATTCCCCTACCTATTACCCTTGTCATTAGAATGTAATTGCAATCATCAACCGACGTTTGTAGTAGATGGATAAGACTTCGCTAAACGCAGTGCATAATACTATTAAATGCTAGTATTAACGTCCCGATAAAAGGATTTGGTTTTGTTCAGTTTTATAGCAAATTATCTCATTGAATTCAAGTTGATTTTGATTCTTTCTTCATAAAACTGTAAAATTAGTGTGAAATAACCTGGACAACAGCATGTTAAATAACTTACATTCTCCAAAGAAAAGGAAATACACAACGCAAAACAAAGTAGTTGACATCATTTCTGTCCTCTCAGTGTACCAAAACGATTCTCTCTTCTTAAATATAATTTGTAATAATTCCGGTTATTTAGCCGTGGTGTTTACATAAGCTCACGTCTAGTATAACAAGAAAAGTACACATGCCGATCGAGAGAGCGGGTGGAAGGGGTTGTATTTTAAGTACACAGTGAATAAGAAAAAAAGTTAGTTGTTGTTTAATATGATCAAATTACAATGGAATGTTGAACTATTTACATTGTTTCAGTAAATCATACGGTACAAAACAATCAGAATATAAAGTGCATAAAGGAATAAGCATTCCAGCATTCTTTTCTCATTTCCTAAATAAATATTTAGCCATTGAGTTTAAAGGTAAACAAAATATGGTACGGATGAGAATAGGATCCACTAAAATAATTATCCTGATAGATTTATCATTATAGTTTGAGGTTTTCATGTAGGATTCATCACGGACAGCTGTTTTGTTCTGACGTGCGTCTCCTCAGCAGTACACACCCACGACCCCTCCAGGAGTCGAATTCAAGACCATCTGCTACCATGGCTAACATTTTAACCATTCAGCCATTGGGTTGGAGTACATTGTCAACAGTTTCCTGTAGCTATTATTTAGCAATATCGTGCGACTATCATCTGAGGTCAATAGATGCCATCTGCTTCACTTCCTACTTGACTGACCCCATATATTGAGTCTTCTAGTCAGAACTTTAGGATATCCATCCGAATCAATGCTACTGATCAGCACTATGCGTTAATGCAGTTTGAAGTCTATGAAAATGTTGTTCGTTTTAAGGTAGTTCACCGTGAAATCTGAAAGTCATGAGTTCCAACCCTAAGGGAGCCGCGGATACATTCTGCTAAGAAGTCTCATGCTAGGATGATATGGCTATCCAGTGCTCCAAAATGTTTAATAGCCCTCCATATAAAGTCAGCCTTTGATGACTACTATTAGCAAGAAGACTGGGTAGAAAGATAAAATGATGTGAACTGCTGAAGTTTATCTCAGTTGACGAATCTGCCCATTTCCTTGATGCTATACAGCTCAGATGTAAAGGAAATGTAATGAAATGCTTTTGACGATGTGAAAATGAGAACGTTTGTATTGATGAAAAAATAGACCAAAACATTAACACAGTGTAACTTAATTATTAAGAATGAAAATCGCACAAAATAACAAGAGTGCGCATATGAATAGAGTAAGTTTTAAAATAAGACTGATGATAAGCCATATAGCCGATGTTCTTGGAAAGTCAACCTGTAATGACACTGTATGCTAAAGTGGGCTGCAACCTTTGAAGAAAATTCTGCGAAGAAGATGTTTCGTCTTTCATAATCATTTGGTCTTAGGTAAAATAATTAAAAATCCACCTCCTAAGTCTGCTTTTTTAATGCTCCTTCATCACTCCAACTGCTTTTAAGGATCTTTTTAAGGAATAAAATGTAAGTAACTTGATTTGGTTTCAATCCATTCCCACATACTGACATAACCAACACACACGCGATAAGAACTATCACCACATACTCTCATACAAGTCTCAATCAGTAATTTCACAAACTCATAACACATAATATATGATACATGGAAATCATATCTGTTTCAACGATTCGATAGCATAAGATCACTCATTCAAATACCTAGTTATCATTTACAATCTGAGGAGGTAAAGCTATTGGTCGCATTAAGCATGCAAACGTCAGTTGAAGCAAATTTATTTCGTTTTGCATTCTCATTGGGAAATACAAAGACTCGGTGCTTGGATCTTTAAAAAGTATTGAACCCAAACACTGTCTGAATATCTATGAGTAGAATTCAATAAATATATCTGAGAATCATTGATTGAGTCAATAAAGAATAAATAAGGCCGAGAAAAGGTTTTGCGTACTAATGACACCTAAGGAGGACAAATCCAAGGCCGGTACAACTATTTGTCACATACAATCCAATCTTCCGCATAGTTTATGTATTCATCAACTAAACATCATATCAGCCACTGATGAACATTTTTATACATTGGACTTCCGTAGATAATTAAAATCCCGTGAACCTTATTCATTTCACCACCTTGTCATCAACATTGTACAACATCTCTCAATCGTTTTGACTAACTGAGCAGAAAGATTTAAGAATAAGTCGTCTACCTTCTCAATTAATTGTTCTTATATATTGTCACCTGGGAAAATCCTTTAATTTCCTTGATAACAACTATGGATGGAGTCAAGTAATTATCTCGAAGAGATTTTCATCGGAGACTATTGTCAGTGCCCACTCATAATCCTGTGACAGATACAGAACAGAAAATTCACTCTTAACAGATTATTATTATCATCATCTTTCCCTTGTGTTCCTAGTGAAACATAGGGCTTTAGTAGCACGCCTCCATTTCACTCTCTTCCCTGCAGTCTTTTAAACCTCGCACCACGACTGCCCACAAGCTTTCATTTCTTCCTCACATGATCTCTTCCATGTCACCCCCGCCTTGAACCCCTAACTCGTCGTTTTCTCTTTTGATCCCACTTGACGGTCTAGCCTGGAGCGTGATGTCCTCAGTCGGTCTTCTCAGTGTATGCCCAATCCATCTACACTTTCTTCTGTATATTTGTTGGGTAATAGGTTCTTAGTTGGTTCGTTGCCAGAGTTCCTTGTTGTTAATTCTTATTATTCTGGCCAGCTGATCTTCAGTATCGAATGAGAGTAGGCGGCAGCTGTTGATGAACGTCTGTAGTTTGTTGGAAGTGCTTTTCGTGACACGCCAAGTTCCTGAACCAAACAGCACCACTGACTTGATATTGACGTTGAACATCCGGATCTTGTTCTTTGTGCTGAGTGCAGTGCAGTAGATCTCCACACTGCTTTCAGATTAGTGAAAGCTTGTCTGTAGTATTGAAGCAACTGCCAAATTGCTTCTCGGTCGACGCTGTCGAAAGCCTTTTCAAAGTTGGTGAAGTTGCGGCAGAGTTGAGTTGAATGCCATTCTACATCATGTTCTATGATGATGCGTAGTGTAGCGTTGCAATTTGATCCACACATGATTTGTTCTTACTGAAGCCAGCCAGCCAGCGTGTTTCGGTCGTAATTTTGAATCCAGCGCATGTTTTAGTCTCTCCAGGATGATGCGGCATAATATTTTGCTTGGGTGGACAGCAGTATGATTCCTTGCCAGTTCTTGCAAAAGGCCTAGGTGTCCCTTCTTTGGGAGTTTGACAGGTTAGCCCTCCCTCCAATCAGTGGGCAGGTACCCCTCCTTCTTTCTTTGCAAACCTTCTGCAGTAATGAAGCGAGCATGTCCACTGTTGTCTCTGAGTCTGTTTTCAGTGGTTCTGGCGGAATTCCATTCTCAGCACGAATATCCTGTGTGTATGCATGGGTGCAGTAATTACACCGCCTCTTCAAATACATCATTCAGGGGAAAGAAGAAACGAGAAGACAGTGAAATACATCTTGTTTATCAGGTCAACTGTTCTCTGATTATGTTAATATAGTGAAAGAGAAGAATGCAGACAATACGTGGAACAAAGCTTTCTTGAGTATTTTTAGAAATGAACTTCAACACGTAAATATTTTAAAGAAAACGGATACCCGGTTGGTATATAAATGAGTTGTTGTGCTTGAAAGTGGCTATCAACTCTACGGATCGCTGAAAGTTTTACCTCTCAGTGCTTTTCATAGTTTGTTTCATATCAGACCAACTTGGAAGTGACTTTGCGTGAAAGTTTCGGGTGGAAATGAATATATTCGCCAATAAACGCTATGCGACTGCCTATAAGGTGGCAATTGTAACAGGCATAATCTCTGTTGTGGTGCTAGCCGGCATTATCAGACTGTTTTCTGGAAACTTCTCACTTGTCTCATGCTTTCCCCTTTGCTTTCAAGAGACGTTCAGTGCCTCACTTCAGCCATGAGGTTCGCTTCTTCCGTATTGTTTTGACTACTGGGACGTTTTTTCAGAGATACAGCTCTTTATGATATCTCTTATGAGATCCCTGTGTCGATCAACTGAAAAGTAATCCCATTCCTGAGGTCATGGTGATGTCAACAGATATTGGTTCCTGGCCACGTAGTTTACCTTGCTGTATCGACGACAAGAACGAGATCCCTTCTATGACAGTTGTTCATCGGATATCAGATATAACACTACCCCACCGTAACCGGTGCTGCCAAGGTGGGTTTGAACCCGAAGGTCTTCTGCCAGCAGGTGGTCGCTGGTAAGAAGGTAGTCCAGTTTGGACGGTTTTTCGCCCGACCTCCAGCGAGTGCCATCGCCAATATTCCATGCAGTCCAGTCTTTTGATAATGTTGCACAGATATCGGTTGAACTTCCAGCTTAAAGTCCCCTGCCCTGCTTAAGATTGAGAGTTTGGGCATTAAAGTCCCCGGCTATAGTGACCCGGTCATATCCCATAGACATCACTCCGGGCATTACTTTGAGCAGTTGTCGGCCGTGTCATAAGCCGCTGATAGGAGTTCTGTAGACCCCCTTCTACCAGGTACTTGGTTGTCCAACAGTGAAGCGGCGCTTGGTGAAGTATGGTAGACGTAGAAGTGGAGTTTTGGTGGCTCATCTACCTTTGAGATGATCGCTTAAAAACGCTGCTACTCCACCTCCATCCTTGAACTACCTACCTCTCCTGAACAGACGAACAGCGTCTATACTGGTCTCGATGTCACTAAAATCCGGTGATAACCAATTTTCTGTTAAGATTATGATCTTCAAAGCGAGGTAGGAACAGAGAGACCGTCTTACCCATAGGTCCCGCCACACAGACGTAAAGGCACTTGGAGGTGATCCTAACAATATCAAGTGTCTTATCGGCGGCAGGCTGTAGGGGGTCGTGTGCAATGGTGAAAGTTGTTACATGACGGCCAGCTCAAGTAGAATCGACCTAATCACATTTTGTCTCATAGTGGTTTCTAGGAGCTTTGTAGAGTCAAGACCAGTTTGGATGTCTTGTCTAGTGACACTACTGGTGACTTTAATCCCAAACGGGGCTGCAACAGGAATCTT